CCAGGAGAGGTGGGAAGATGAGTTTATTCAGCAATTGTTCTTTTGAATCTCTCTTAGACAGATTTTTTTTTTTTAAGTCCAGGAATGTACTTGCTCTTTTCCTTGGTTCCTCTTTGCCACTCCATCCTGGAGAAATGCTAGTCGCACTCTGCTTGCTCAGCAAAAGTTCATGAGGTGGAAAGGGAGTGTGGGAAATAATACAACAGAAAATTTTCTACACAGCCTCTTGCTATAGTCATGTGTATTGTGTAGTCATTTCTATGAACTTTGACTTTAAAAATCCTGAGGTTATATTATGCAGAATAACTAAAGACATAGCAAGTTTAGAATTGGGGACTCCCTACCTAGGAAGGAGGGAGGGAGAGAGAGAGAGAGAGAGAGAGAGAGAGAGAGAGAGAGAGAGAGAGAGAGAGCGATTAAGCCTGAGCAGGATGAAATGCATTATATCAAGGTGGCTAAGTCAGAATTTAAGACCCAAGGACTTCAAGCAGCCTTGCTTCTTTGGCCTTTAAATGCTCCTATCTGAAGGTTCAAATGAAAAGGGGTTGAAGGGAGCCTGATCACTCAGAGGGTGAAAGAAGCTGAGGCTTTGAGATAGCTTCCTGCCATTTTGTGGGAAATCTACCAGGTGTGGCTTTAGGGGGACTTGGCCCCATTTACAGAACTCCCTGTTGGTCTCTGATGGGAAGATTCCATGCCCAAGCTCCCATTCTTCTTCTCTCTCACTTCCCTCTCCCTTTCCACCAGATGTCATTCTCTCTCAATGACCGGAGCCCAAGCTTCCACAGCCTCCTTGGCTCCTGCTCTCCCAGACAGTCACACATGCCATTCCAAGCCAAGCCTCTGACTTCAGCTCTAGGCCTCTTCTCATGAGATCATCTTCCCTGAAATATAGTCTCCCAGATGGTTCCTCGCCATCATATATGGTCTCTGGCTATCTCACAAGCCGTTCCCACACCCCTTCATTGTACTGCACCCCGGATAAACTGGACACTAGCTGCTCTCCAGAGGTGGCCCTACTTAGCTGACTCCTGTCCTTTGCTGGAAATGTTTCTTCTCAGAAGCTCTCAAGTCTACCTTCCCTCACATCAGATCCATGTCCTGGCCCATTGAAAGACTCCTCATTCTTCATGGGCTTCACAAACTAAACCTTTTTATAAACTCTTGGCCCCCCCATTCCACAGTTGTTTGGGTGAACCTCCCATGATCCTTTGTTCAAATTCTAAGCACTGGGGTTGGTTGTTGGATATTTGTAGATTTGAACTACAATTCAGTTACTTCATTTCATCTTACTTAAAAGTAAAGGAAAGAAACGAGAGTGAATCTGTCCATCATACCAAAATGTAAAAATTTATATTGTCTTTTAACAGGGAAGTTGGTCCAAAAGAGCAAAGCCTGTGTATGTTTCAGGGAAACTATTTTTCACCTCTTCAGGAAGTTACTTCCTGAAACTTTCTATCCTCCAGTTGTTCAAAAATTGCTGACTCTCAGCAGAGAGAATTCAGGAAAATAGTAGGTTGATACTACATCTTGGTCAGCTAGGGGAATGCAGTGTAATCCATCTTTTGCTAAGTGTATAGTAATTTACAGCTTGCATTGTGAACTGTAGTTTTTTAATAGATTGGATTCATAGTGTAAATCAAGTTTCAAAGCACAGGGATGGGCCATGACTGACCTGGTATTGTAACGTGCCATGACCTAATCAAGCAGAATATAGTGCACTACCTAATGCTTTTTGTGTAAGTAATTAGGATGCATAGTGTTTTCAGTGTACTGATCTGAAAGATTTATTGAGAGAGATTGCTTTAAACCTCTAAATAATATGGCTAACATTTGCCATTAACTTGGTAGTTTTTTAATATTTAAATAAGGAATAAAAGTTTTAAAAGGCATCCATTTGAATTTTTATCTCTTTTTGTTTTCCTAAAATTACTAAGAGCCAAATAAGTATACGTTTTGGGGTGAGGGGATATACGAAATTATGAAGATTTGATCACATAGAAAAGAAGGAATAACAGTTCTCATACCCAGAATTAGCCGAAGTTGTTCAGGGAATCAAGAGGGTTTGCAAATGTTATAGCTAGACTCCCTGCTATTATTTTCAGTCTCAAATTTCCTTTTTCTCTCCAACCATAACTCACATCTCAGTAAAATTTCCAGAGTACACCAGGAGTGCTGAACTGGTCATGGGTCCTGCTTTGCCATGATACAGCAGCAGCAGTTACCTGAGTGACTGTTCTTGTGGTATCTGAGACTAAACATTACCTTTAATCTAGGTGATGGGGTGGGAAATAACTTTAAATTGAAAAAAAAAAAGCAGCAGGTTACATGATAATGCTTTTAATATATAAAATGCAATAAATGAATTAGTATTCAGATATGTAAAGAGCACTTACAAATAAATAAGAAAAATGCACACTAGAGACATAAACAAGGAAATTCACCAAAGAAGTATAATAACCTCATTGCCTTCAGATAAACACATACAAAAAAACTCCTAGAATGAGATTGGTAGAATTGAGAAGTATAATATATAGTGTTGATCAAATTATAGACAAATGGATTCTCTTCTGATCAGAATGCAAGTTGATTTAGCCACTTTAAAATGTATTGTTAAAATAAGAAACATGTATAGGTGAAGGCCCAACTAATATTTAATTTCTCCTCATCTTCCCTAAAAGACCTTTTGTACTTATGGACAACAAAGCATGCGTATGTACACTCAATGCAGCATCACTTAGCATCATGAGAAATTGAAAGCAAACTCAGTACCCATCATGACAGAGGTGGAACCCTAGCTGGTTTGGCTCAGTGGATAGAGCATTGGTCTATGGAATGAAGGGTCTCAGGTTTGAGTTCAGTTAAGGGCACGTACTTCTGTTATAGGCTCCTCCCCTGCCCAGGCCCTGGTTGGGACTCATGCAGGAGGCAACCAATTACAAACAATTCTCTTTGTTTTCCCCTAAAAATCAATGGAAAAATATCCGCGGGTGAGAATTAACAAAACAAACAAACAAACAAACAAAAAACAAACACAAGACAGAGGTGGCTAAGTAAACTGTGCTGCATGCAGAATGCGCAGTGCTACTCAACAATGGGTCTGAAGAATGAGGCAGAACTCTGTGTTGGCAGAAAGAATCTCCATGCCAGAATGAGAAAAAAATCAAGCCTGATGATATATCGCCATATATTTTTAAAAAGAAAGAATTCATAAGCTAATGCTATAGATTTTCTACAATAGTAGTTTTCAAAATCTTTTGGCAATAAGAAACACATTTTATATCTTGAATGAGTGAACTCTTGCTACATGCAATGCACTCTGAAAGTTTTCTATGCTGTTCCACTTCATCCCATCCCATTTTTCAAAATGCTGGTCATGGCCCATTCAACTCATTTCAGGATCAACCACAGTCTGAAAAATGCTGTTGTGATGTTAAAGCTTATGTATGTAAATGGATAGAAAAGTGACTTGGCAACACGCCAGGCTGATGTCAGAGGTTACCTCTGGGGAGGAGGCTGATGGGTGGTGGTTCCGGGGGGCCTCCTGCTTCTCTGTAATACTTAGGTTGTTGTTATGTTTGTTTGCTTGTTTTACAAGGGGCATGTGTAATTAAACATTTTTAAATTTATTTTTTAGAGAGGAAGCAATCAAAACTATTTTCCCAAGTCAAGAATTTATTGGAATTGAAGGAGAATAATCAAAGATTCTTAAGAAAAAAATTGTTTTAAGTTATTGTGCCTAATTGAGTAATTCAGAAGACAGGCATTCTAGCTAACCATCTCTGTTTTTGTATCTAGGGCCACAGATGAGCACATTCTTGTGGCAAGGTAGAGTCAAACCCATGTGACATCCCACTCAAAATGTCATCACAAATCTAAGGACACTCGGCCAGGCCGTGAGATTGTAACTCGTTTCCTAGAAGTATTAAGTCCACATATCAAAAGCATAAAGTGGGCAACATAAAAGTGATCAAGAACTAAGCTGTTTGGTTTCTGAAAATGCAAAGTTAATGTATCTGTTGCAATATCTACTTGGCCACATTACATGGTCTCTAATTTTTGGTATGGGTCTAGACAAACAGTTGCATTTGAACAATTATTTTGGCAAGAAACCATCACTGTAGAAAATATGGCACAGGTACACCCAGTTATCTCTGCAGGCTGTAGCTCAGCTATGTTTTCTGTTTTAGGGCTATCTTCATTCTTTCTGATTTACCTTCACCTTTTTACCCTATGAGTAATTTATTAAACCTCATTCTAATGGTCAAGTAATTGATGCTTAAAAGGAGTTAGACACAGTTCCCAAGGAAGATAGATCCTTTAAATTTTAAACATTTAAACAAAGTATTAAATGAAGATGAACTAGAACTAGATTGCTTCTTGTGTGAATTTCTTAATTAACTCAATGAAGATACCCATGAAAAAAATAATATTTGACACCAACCTAGCCTAAAATTGTGGAAGTAGTGTGGCTCTATGATGAGAATTTGGGAGAAATTATAAATATGTCCTATTGGGACCTGGACAAAAATCCAGGTGAAAATTATAATTTGTAATAGTCAAGAGTTTGAAAGTTACTTAATTTGAACTTTTGTTCTTGGAATTTTTTATTTGGGGGAGGGATTTTTCCCCTCTCTGTAAGATTGTCTATTCAGTGTTTGTATAAATGAATTTAACACTTAAAAGCATAATATTCTCTTAACTGCACACATCTGAATCCCAGATTTCCAAGGCAAAATTCCAAGAGATAACTGGTCTTTCAAATGTTAGAAAGTAGAAGTCCGAGAAGTAAAAAAAAAAAAAAAAAAAAAGAAAAAAGAACTTGTGTATCCCCTAGTATAAAGCATTGAAGTGTTAAAAGGTCCCTACATATTTTCTCATTGGTAGGATGAGGGTCTTTGCTTAACTTTTATTTCAGAATTTTATCCCATTTTCTACTAATAATCACTTTTAAGAGAGACAACCAGGGTCTTGACTAACTGAAAACGTGTCATCCACAGCATCTGCAGGGATCGCTGTGTCCCAGAGGAAAGTCCGTCAGATCAGTGATCCCATTCAGCAGATCTTAATTCAGCTGCACAAAATCATCTACATCACGCAGGTCAGTGTTTTAGCCTTTCATTTCCTCTTCATTGGAATATAAATCTGCTGCTGAAATTGCTTACAGACTTTGTGGAACGTTTAGTTGAGTGAGCACTTGTTTTTATCCTCCCAACTACAAATATCTGGGGACATGATGGCTTAGCAGCAGAGCTAGGAGATAGAATAAAGAAAGCAACTATGTCTGCTTTTCCCTGTCCACCCTGCTCTTTCACTTAGTGCCCAACCCAAACCAAACTTCAGTGCGAATGTGCCCTCCGTGTGGGGGTGAGAGTGAGGACAGAGATGGGCTTTTGACACCAGCTTTACCCCAGTCAGGAAAGAGGAAAGTAGTGTCCACTCACAAATCTTGAAGGTACCAGCTTAAAACCAGGACCTCTCAGAGAAATGAAAACTGTAAGCACAGAAAATTCAGGATTGTGAAAACTCCCTTTTTTCTAAACCTCAGTAACTGTTTAAAAATGGCCACCAAGTACTTACAGAAATGTGTCTGGCTTGACTGTTCATCTACTAAGGAGAGGAAGAGAAATCTAGAAAATAAAGGAGGAGCAGAGAGGGAAATCACTGCTTAAAGTCCCGAGGCAGAGCACAAGGGACAGAACAGAAGGGGACCCCCCATCCTGGGCTGAGGTCTGGACCTCACTGGAAAGATGGGAGAAGTCCACGGAGGTGCTGTTTCCTCAGGGGGTTGGGGTGAGTCACTGATGAGGAGGTGTCCTGCCATGGAGCTTGCTGGAAATCAGCACGCCAGCATGGTGTGATGGGGAGTGCCCTCTACAGGACCCGGAGGGAGGCTGCCCATGGGCAGGTGCCACCTGCAGAGTTGAATCTGGCTGGGGGGACCCCATTGCTCTGACTGCTTCCTGCTAAAGACCAGGGGCAAGGTAGGAGCATCCCTGGAAGCAGGGACAAGCTCCGCCCTCCTCCAGTGTCCCTTCAGTGCGTTCCTTCAGCGCCCTCTCTCAAACAGCTGGACCTGCCAGCTGGGCAGTGAAGGGTGTATTTGGACCTAAGAGGCAATAAATTGATAGCTGGCACACGTAACCTGGGGAAGGGAGGCAGACATGGGAGACCTTTCTGTGGGATCCCCCCCACCCCACCCGGCCCCAATCTACAAGTTCTCAATAGGAGGATGGGGGTGGGAAACTTGGTTAATAAAACAAATATAATGTGCCACATCTCTATTGAGTACAGGTATTATATTCAAAATTGTGTTTCTACTTAAATACTGACAGATATATGGGGAAAGCATTCTTAACTTTAGTATTATGGAAATAGCTTATTGGTGCCTCAATGATTAACTCATAAATTGAGAGAAAATATCCTTTGAAATTTAAATATACTGTTCATATGCCTTTCTTGCTAATTTATATATAATAAAAAACTTTTTAATGGATGTATTCTATAACTTTATTAGATTTCAACCCATTTTAAAGCAAGAATGAAACTATTATGATGATCTTATTATTATACCCTCACACTGCCAGCATAACGAATGGTTTCAAATTTCTTGGCAAGATGGCATTCCTTGCTGTACATTCAGATATAACCATTGTGGTTTTTTAAATTGCATTTCCAGGACCCTTTAAGGATTATGACGTTGCACATAGGAAAGAATGATTCCCCTTTGAGGAACTTTACATTACAGGGGTATCTGAAGTCAGTGCCTTTCAAATACAGGAGACAAATACAAGTCTAACTATTATACTATTGAATTTGCTGGAGGTTAAAGACCAAGATATCTCTCTCTCTCTCTCTCTCTCTCTCTCTCTCTCTCTCTCTCTCTCTCTCTCTCTCTCTCTCTCTCTGCTAATTGCAGAGGAAAACTGCTAAAAGTAAAATGGAATTGACAAAACAAAATGAGTCAACAAAAAAAAATCTTGTCCACACATTTATTTACTAGTCAAACCCTCAGACTTTGACTGTGGAGACTGACCGGGATTTCAGAGCTAGGCCGGTCCCTCCTTACAGCCAGCAGGTGACCTGACAGAGAAAACGGTTCATTTGTGGCTGGAGGTGGCCTTTTCTTTCCAGTTTCCATGGAGACAGTTCTGTAGAAATCATCCAAGAGAAACTATTTTAAAAGGCAGGATGTTAAAATCCTTACCCTGCCTTCACTGATTTGACATGTTTTAATCAACACTGAGATGTAATCTTAAGACCAGAAAGCTGAGAATGAAATCAGTGGTTCATTTCCATCGCTGGAGGCCAAAGTCAGTCTCTGGATATATCAGGTGACCAAGTACATATGTTACCTTTTAGCCTGAGCCTCTGTGTGTTTTCCCTTAGGTAAGATCTGCCTAGCCAACTTCAGCTTTGGATTTAACGCTGCATTTAGGGTTTGGTTGTTTTGTTGAATAAATGCTTTGAAAATTAGCATAGTGTTACTTTCAAGAAAAAAACATCTGTTTCCCAGAGAACAGACAGGCAGTTTGGCCAGAGCTGCTTTGCATTCTGCATCTCCATCTTATCAACCACAAATGTTGCCAACAGAACAAAACTATCTGGTTGGGAAGAGCACTGTGCCGTCCTCAGATGCAAGTTGCACTACAGACTGTGAAACATACTGCCTTTCTCCTAAGTGATGGTGGTTGGAAAGAGAGCCAGCCACACCCCCGCATCTGGATCTCCTGGTTCCTAATGGCGAGGGTAGCAGGTTAAATAGAATTTAGGGTAATGCTGTGTTTCTCAAAGGAACTCAGGTTTGCAGGGTTTGTAAATTCGAAGAGAAGTCTTACATTTTGTGTATTTATTTTGATGATAATCTTGGAACATTTTACTTTAGCACTTAAAGAAATCCATTAAGCAGTCAGAATAGGGTTTTTATTATGAAAAAGATATTAAGTGACTATCAGATGGAGCCCCACGAACTCCAAATGGCCTGCCGATGTACTCTTGGAGATACTGAAGAATGATGTTCTTTAAAAAGAATCCATATATTTAGCAAGTTTGAGAAAACCTATTATAAAACATACATATCAGATTCCATTTGTTATTTTGTAGTAAAAACAAATGAAAAGCAAGCTTTTAGACGTGTGAGTCATTATCTTTTCTAGACTCATTTCCTTCATCGGTAAAATTCAGGCTGCCTATGGGGCTATTGTGATAAAGAAAGAATATGAGGTGTTTATAAATGATAAAGTACCATAGTACAGTACAGCTTGTGATGACGCTATTTGCTCCAGATTATTGGATGTGCAAGAGGACTCGTTACCTCAGGAAGCATCCTTGCATGTTATGTTATGTCTTTAAGGTCCGGTTTCCTCACCTATAAAATAGTACCTGCTTTATAAGTTTGTTGTAGGAAAAACATGCCTTCCCGTGCATAAAAGAGTAATCAGAGCACCTGGCACATAGAAATCATAGGTTATTCGTGTTTTGTACTATAGTTCTTATATATTTTTATGCTTATGTCAACTGCAACTGGGTAAAATTTCAAATTCTTTCCTGAAAACTTTAAAGATGCAGTGCTGTCCAGTGATAGTTATTTCAATAAAATTCAATATCTTTTTTTTAAAATACTGCCCTGTGTATGAATCTTAGGTTGATGGAATGTTAGCTTTACTCAACAAGAAAGTTTTCATGAGGATTAATTCAAGCCATCAGGAGAAGTAAAACTAATTCTAACTAAAGGCTCATTAAGTTAAATAAATAATAAAGATTTTAAGAGCATCAGAATTAGTAAGTTGATGCTAGTAGCTGCCAGTCCTAGGGTAAGCCACCTTTAAAGGAATCTATGGCCCACCGATAATTCACATCTTCAAAAGTTTGCCCTAGCAGACAATTAGGTGTATCAGAACAGGCTTTCTAGCCATTCTCTCTGACAGTTGGGACCATGCTGGGCAGTTGCTAGACAGTCCCAGGCCAACACTGCCATCTGATGTTTAACTTAAGGAAGTGGCAACTTCTGGTGAGTAACTGGGAAATTATCAAATTTAATAGTATCTCACTCAAGGCACTTTCCCCATCTCTTCCACTCTAACCCATCACCCCCTTGCTAGGAAAACATGCATATGCTCTCCTCTTCATAGTCTGATGCACTTTAAATTAAATTTACTCACTTTTGCTAGTCTCTCATGCACACAAATATCATTGATACTCATTTTCCTTCCTATCTATCTTCCAACTGTTTGCTCATTAATGCTGAGAAATCTGCCTCTTTACATTTCTTGAGTTCCCCTTTTCATTAAAGAACAACATTAATTATGACTCTTTGCCTGGGATAGGAAGTAGTAATCCCATCTGGCTCCAGGTAAAACAAGCCACAATATTGACGTAAAATTAGATAAGCAGAGGTTCAGTGCACTCAACCTATAAAACCTTCCAGGGTACACTGAAGGGCTTCTGAATCTCCCATCTTAATTCTTCTGTAATTAAACTGCTTTGACTCAAGCAAAGTCAAGGATTAACTAGGATTATAGATGCATTGAAAAACTTGTTTTCAATTGCATTATTCTTATTTAATATCACCACCGTGTTCCATAATGGGTCCCATATTCTATTGTGTTTGAGCTAATGAACAGTTTTTCTTTGTTATAAAATCAGTGGTTGTGAGCTCCTATAGACCTTATTCATTGCTCTACTATTTTATATATCTCCCTGTTTTGTGGAACTTTGTATTATACTTTACAGCTATAGATGTCCATTGTATTAGTCAGGATATGTTAAGTTATGCTACACTAACAGATGTACCCTGGAGTCTCTTGACTTGTCACAATAGAGGTCTACTTCTCACTCAGCTAACATTGGCTGTTTTTCACCTGTGGCTCTGGCATCAGGACTCCAAGCCTCTTGTCCTAGAGGAGGACAGGGATGGAAGAAGAACATTGGCTTTGCATGGCCTTATTCTTGGAATGACACATGCCATTTTCATTGGTCACAGTTGTTACATGGCATCAAACTAAAACTGAAAGAGGGGGGTGGAGTAATAATCATCTCTGCTACATTACTCTTCCTTTTGATCTGTGCTCGTGTGTTTTCTTTTAAATCTTTAGAGTTCCTACTACCACATTTTTCTTCCTATTTAGCCTTTCATTTTTCTTTTTGTTTTTGTTTTTTCCCCTCTCCTTGTAAGACCGCTCCCTATTCCAACAAAACAAATGCCATTTCACCAGGAGACTCCTTATCCTGTTGACCCTATTTCTTTCCTCTGTTGTCCAGCTCCCAAACTTCACTTTACCCCTCTGTGCTTTTTAGGACCTTTGATTTCCTTGTATAATTCCAACCTGCAAAGTAGTAAAAAAAAAACAAAACAAAAAAAACACAATGTTTTGAAATCCCCATATTCATCCAATCCCACATTTTCCAAGATTCTGTAGTGACTTCCTACTACTTACTTATTAAACCTAACTCATCCTGGCCTGGCCCTCGTGTGTAATAATTTTCTCTCTCTCTCTCTCTCTCTCTCTCTCTCTCTCTCTCTTCTTTAGAAGCAGCTAATATATATATATATAGATAGATATATACACACACACACATATATATACATATATATACACATACACACACATATATATTGTATATATATATTATTGATTTCAGAGAGGAAGGAAGAGAGAGAGAGAGAGATAGAAACATCAGTGATGAGAGAGAATCATTAATCAGCTACCTCTTGCACAACCCCCCACCGGGGATCAAGCCTGCAACCCAGCATGTGCCCCCAACTGGAATCGAACCTGGGACACTCCAGTCCACAGTTTAGCGCTCTATCCACTGAGCCAAACCAGCCAGGGCCATTCTCTCCTTTTCGATAAGACTGGTCTCTACAGTCTCCAGCTGCATACTCAGAAGCACTCACTGGCAGGCATCTGATTATGTGCAGATGCAGATATGTGCTTCCTGGTCCAAAGTATCAGATCCTTCAGGACAAGGCCTTGGTTAGAGTGGAAGCATGGGTTTTGCTTATGAGTATGACCCAGACATCTAAATATCTGATAGAATATATTCTTCCTCGTCAAGTCTATTCTTTACAAAAGTCAATTTATATGTGCAATTAATATAATTTAATTGTTATGTGAAAAATAATATCCAGTGCAAGAACAGTAAGACAAATTAAGCAGCCTTTTGAAAGACAGCAGAGTAATATATTTTTTTCTGGATTATAGAATTAACAATTGTAACATAGACTCATGCTATTTGGAGTACAATTTAAATTCTTATTTAGTCCTGTTGAGCGAATATTGTTACACTGACCCTCAGTAAATGCTTCCCCGGAGTCAGTCAGCTGTGCAGTGTGAACAATTTGCTTATAATGATTGTTTTCCCACTTTATACAGCTTCCTCCAGCGCTGCACCACAATTTGAAAAGAAGGGTCATAGAGAGATTCAAGAAATCCCTCTTCAGCCAGCAGAGTAACCCTTGTAATTTGAAATCTGAAATTAAAAAGGTATGGTATTCTACATTTAGGAATTCTTCTTTGGCTAATAAAAGCACATCCTTCACGTTGAATTTCCTACCTCCTTTGCCTGCTGCTCTCGCCTCTATTAAAGGGTGTTATTATTTTCTTAATCCATTCAGGCTGCTATAACAGAAATACCATAAACCAAGGAGCTTATGAACAACAGAGATCTATTGCCCACAGTTCTGGAAGCTGGAAGTCCAAGATCAGGGTGCCAGCATGAGGACCCTCTTCTAGGTTGTAAACTGTCTACTTCTCATTGCATCCACACTAGGCCCTTGTTATAAAGGCATTTAAAAAAAAAAAAAAAAGAGCACTTGTAGGATTCCATCCTCTGACCTAATTACCTCTCATAGGTCCCACCTTGTAATACAAGCAACGTGGGGATTGGCTTCAACATAGAATTTGGGGGGACATTCAGATTGGCTTAAGACACTAAGTCAAGAACATGTCTTTGCTTCTCCTCATCTTTATGTCTGAAGTCACTATTTTCAGAAAAATAGCAGAAAGTTCTTTCCATATCATTGCATGTTTTCCTAAGACTAAATATTAGTAACTATTTTTACTCTAAATAGATTTTAATCTTGTATTAGAGAACTCTATCCCAATTTGTTATTAGAATGTTCTTCAACAAGTCTCTAAATTGAGCGTTGCCGGTCTGAGCAAGTCATTTAACCATCTCAACCATGATTTTTATCACCTCTGAGAACCTTACAAATAGACTGAACTATTTGTAAGGCTCCTCCCATCTTGACATTCTACCACCTCCTAGACTTCAGGTGCCAGTAAATATTTCTATTCATACATACAGAAACTAAATCACAATGAGGTCAAGTCGACCAGACAGGAAGAAAATTGTTTGTTTCTGTTTAACAACATGGTGACAGGAAATCCCTTTGACCTGCTCAAGAGCATTTTAATACAGGCATGAAAATGGTCATAAGCTCCCATACCTGTCCCACCTGGGTACAGATCCTTGGTCCCACTCCAATTTCATATAATTTTTTAAAAGTTTCATCAGATTCTAAAACGTTGGCGCAGTCATGCTTCTAATGCTATTTTTTAAGGTTTCTTTTTCCTTCAGCGTCTCCAATCTCAGACATAAATGTGCTCATTATTCAGGCAGGACGATGGGCTCTTTGATAAGAAATTCAGACAGTGTATTGGCTTTGTTACCTTCCATCCGTGGTGGCTGCGCATACACACACAGGAGAAGGGAAAAAGAAAAGGCACAGCAGCAAGTAAACAAAGCCTTAAGCCCCACCGCACCAGAGATTAGAGAGCCAAGTTTCTTCCAGGGGCTGTGTTGGCAAATAAGGCCAAGCAACAAAGCCAGGGGAGATCAAAACAGAAATGAGGGAGACCGCAGATCAATATTTATTTTAACATCTTTCTGTATCATCTCACTCATACCAATAAATAGGTTTTAAAAAAGACAGTAGCTCCCATCTCCCATGAAAAGATGAAAAGATTTTTAGATGCTTATTAAAATGATGTGCAGAATAACCCTGGCCGTACACAAAATTCATTTGAACAGAAACCCCAGCTTTAGGAGATAAAAGTGCCAGGCCCGAGCGGTCTGCTGCACAAAGGTGGTCTCGGCTCTTCCCCCTGAAGTAATTTTCCTTCCGTGCGTGTCTTCAAAGCAAATCATTTCCTCTTTGGTTATTCAGGTTTTCACGTTTGATCCCTTCCCTGCTGCCTTTTCTCTCCTAATAGAAGAGAGACTTCCTTTTGTTAAGTCACACCCCAACCTTATCTGCCTGCTTCTGTATTGTGGCAGCATCTCTCACTGGAGCGCCTGCCTCTGTGCTTGGTCTGGGGCGGTGAAAGCAGGGGATGGGTGGGTGGTAGCGGGTGTTCAGGGAGCATGGGTGAGGGGACCCAAAGAGGCATGGATTCACCTTTAATTTCAACTTGGTTAAGAGGCAGATTAAATTCTCCTGTGAAGAGAGCTCCGGTCCTCTCCTCTGCTCTGAGCTTGTGGTGGGTGGCTCACACACCATGGTATCTACCCTCCTGATCAGTCCATCAGTCTTCATCTCGTAGGTGCTAAAAAATCTTCATCCTGGGATGTCCAAGTATTTTCTATCCCTCACCACTGAACTGAGAAGCCAAGTTTCCCGTAAAAACCTTCCAGCATTTTCCCTGTCCAGAATTCATCTCCCTTTCCCCATACTTCAGTCCCTTTTCACACATATTGCTGTGTTTTAAGTACCTTGTTATCTGTCTTACTTTCCTGTTTTTCCCAAAGGCAGTAAGAGTGTCTTATTCTTCTTTGATTCCCTCAGGGTCTGCCTGGCACGTGGTAGGTGCTTAATGTGTAGTTGTTGAACGTAGACTATATTACCTATATATCCCGTATAATATATTCTATGTTGGTTCTTTATAATATATTCATATGTGAATATAGAAGGAAACCCTCCTGTCCTATCAGTGGCCTCCGTTCTTCCTCCTTTCTGGCATAATCTCTTGTTAACAATAACTTTTGTTCAGAAATGGATTTTTCTTCCCCTGTACAACCACGGAAGAGTGGCCAACTTCCCTTTGACTGACATGGCCACCCACCAGGCCCCCGGAAGCAGCGAGTTGTGAGGACACATCAAACGCATTTAATTCCCACCTTCCCCTCTGGAACTTCTCCTGAAACTTTGGGACCAGGTCCCTAGTCTGAAGGAGTTGTTATGGGATCCTGTAGGCTACAGAGAGGAATTAAAAATAAATAAATAAAAGGAAAATCACTTTTCTAGCAAATGAAGGTCCTTATTTATAACTCGCCTAAGGTGGTCTTCAGTCCAGTGGACTCCACCTTGGCCAGAGCTACAGAGCAACAAAGCATCTGAGTCATTGTGTAGGTATCTGTGGGAACTAGAACTTCCAGTATGGGAGGAAGGAGAAACAAGATAGAAGATAGTCACTCAACTTAGAATAGGAAGTATCAATATGAGTCAATATGAATTTAAGATAAAACATATGTTTTAAAAAATACAGATATTTTCTAATGTTTTCACTAAAATGGTCTAGAAACTAAACAAACAGCAACGAACTCCCTTAACACTAAGTCTTCAGGAATGTAAAAGGATGTAACTATATTTTTTTTCTAAAGTGTAGGGTTTGGCAACATCAAGATTGAAAAACAAATGGTTTGTGTTTACAGCATCCACAGTGCATTCATGGGATATAAGTTGCTAATATGAAGTGTTTTTATTCAGGAATAAGATGCATAATGCACGCAGAGATACGTTTACAGCTCCCTGAACTTTAACAGATGTGGTCCCCCACGTGACCACCAGCCACACGGACAGAACAGATCTACTCCCCCAGGAGGCTCCTGCCTGCCCTTTCCTGGCCCTGCCACAGTGCACTCATTTTCCTGCTTTCTATCTCCATCAGTTAGTCCTGCCTGATTGTGAAAATGTGTATCAGTGAACTTAGATACTGTATATTGTTTTGCTTCTGGTTCTTTTGCTCAACCCATTTGGTGTGTGTGTCCAGAGTCTGTTCTTTCTCATTGCTTTGAAGAAGTCCATTGGGTAAGCACATCACAACACAGCATCTCTATTTTCCTGATACCAGGGAACATTAGGGGTGTTTATAGTTTAGGGTTATTGTGAGCAAAAGTGCTATGAACATTCTTATACATTTCTGTTGATGGACAGACATACTCATTTTTTTTTGTAGCTGCCTAAGAGTGGGATTGCTGAGTCATAGGGGAGGCATATGTTGTTTAAGTTTAATATATACTGTCAAAACAGTTTTCCCAAGTGATTGAAGGTGGTGTATTTTATGTTATGGGTTTTTTGTTGTTGTTAATTCTCACCGAGGATATTTTTCCATTGATTTTTTTAAAGAGAGTGGAAGGGAACGAGAGAGAGAGATATGTAGAGAAACATGGATGTGAGAGAGACAAATCAATTGGTTGCTTCCCACAAGTACCCTGACTGGGTCCAGCAACTCAGGTATGTGCCCTTGACTGGAATTGAACCCTGGACCCTTCAGTCCACTACCCGACGCTCTATCCACTGAGCCAAACCCACTTGGGCACTATGATGTAATTTAATTTATTAACAGAGTATGTAACTCCAAGGTACCTACTAATACATGGTCCAAATTGTGCCATATGTTTATTAATAAGAGTCAACATTTTAAAAGTACATTATGTTAGCACAGGCACTAAACCTTGGCCAGTCCACATGCTGGTTGGAATTAGAGGTGAAAGGAGGATAAAAAATGTTTATAGTAAAAAATTTCATTAAAAATTTCAGCTGCAGAGAAGAGCATTAAACAATTGCAGCTTCAATAAATTCTGTCATTTGGTGAATTACGCTTTCCTTTAGAGTGCTGGGAATCAATGTGTGGAAATTAAAACTAATTATTAGTTATTCAGGAAAATGTATTCAGAAATGTGTTTGCTTTGGTAGAAGAAGAAGGCCTTGTTCAAAGCAGATACACGGTTGGTGATTTGGGCTAAACATATTGTTCTCTTGAGTAATTGAAGTTCATTCCACCTACACATAATTAAAAAAACACACACACCACATTTTGATGTTCCAATCCGTGACATTATTTTTCTATCTTTTATTTTGCTCTCATAAAGCTATAAAGTGTAGAGTTGTTGTTGTTTTTTTCTTTTCATGTGACCAGGGAATTATTTAACTTGCTCTTTCTGATTTATACGTTATTTTGGAAGGAAGAAGATGTGTGTTTATCTATTTACAAGGGATTGAAATGCATAGAACACTAAATTTTCTGTGCAGACGCAGGGAAATGGAAAAGCTCACATAGAGGCCTCCTGCCATTTGCGTTTGAGTGTAAAAGATGATGTGGCTTTGCTTTTTCTGTTCCAGTTATCTCAGGGATCTCCAGAACCCATCGAGCCCAACTTTTTCACGGCGGATTATCATTTATTACATCACTCAGCAGGTGGGAACAGTCTGTCCCCAAACGAACCACCAGGTAATGGTCTCCAGCACGGAAAATCTGACACTCATAGAGAAATATAGTAGCTTTTGGAGCAAGAGCTACCTTTAAAGATTATAATCTTCAATTTAAAAGAAAAATAGAGCTTATTTTGATTGTCTAGGGAAGTAGTTTCAAGGTAAGAATCTAGAAATTCCCTGAGATGTACTTCCCCTGGTTTCAGCTTCTTTATCATTTATTAATACGGTAAACAAACAGCAGAATCCATGTGGGTGAATTATATTTCCTCTTATTTTTTCTTGCTTATCTGGTGATGACAAATCAAGTGCCCAAAACATCCAGGGAGAGAAAAAGCAGAAATGAAGAGTTTGAATATTTAAAATGGAGAAAATTTGAGACTTATATGAAGGATCCACATCAGACATACTTGATATTTTTCTTCTTTTTGCAGAAATCTCACATTGGGGGGGCTATATATAGCAGAGGGATTAAAGGTACAGGTTCTTACAGATTCTAGACATTGATGCCTAGATTCAAATCTTGGCTCATTCATTTAGTAGCTGATCTTGGGCAAGTTATTTGACCTTTCTGCACCCAGTTGCCTTGCCTATAAAATGGGGATAAAAATGGTACCGTTATCACAGAGTTAAAGTGAGGATCCGTGTAAACTCGGAAAAACTGTTTGGCCGTTTTTGTAACTTGGCTCAGCAAATGTTACATTTCTTGTGACATTTGAACTCTCAGAAGTTTTCGAGCTACTTGAGATTTCAGAATTCCTCCGTCGTTTTTGAGTCCCTGTAAACTATAGTTACATCACTCAGTGGAATGGATTGAAGCCAAGTTTACGGTTAAATGAAGACTTATCATCTCAGCCTAGAAAAATACTCATTTTGGTTGTGTCTTTGTGGTTGCTTCATATAGGCAAATTATTTCATGTACTAATTATTAAAATTTCCCTAAGTCTTAGAGTCCTGGGATAAAGCTAGCCCGCGTAGGCAGAATTTCAAATGAAATAGATCCCAAGAAATCCGTAAGGTAACGATAAACCGTTGTCTAAAGTCATTTGCTTTTCAAAGCATCTCCCAGGCAGGCGAGTCAGTCCACAGGTGACCCTTCTGACAACAGCAGCTCCATGAACTGAAGAGTCTGGCAGAAGTCTCTCTGTGGCCTGAGAGCCAGAGGACAGATGGGACCAGGACAGCTGAACACCTCGCCCCAGAGCAGACTAGGAATATCCCTTGTCATAGCAGGCTGGGCAAAAGCAAAGACAGCCCATGCTCATACCTCCTCTTGACATTCAACCCATTTTTTTTTCTTCTCTCTCCAACTGGCAGGGGAGCCCCAGGGCATCCAAATAAGTCAGTGTTGAATGATTTGAGTGGAAGCTGATTGATGTTACTTTGGGTGGCGTCAGAGTGGCTTATGGTGTTAGCATTCATACTCAGATCAAACATCAAAACAAGTATTGCCCTTTGGCATTAAATGTATAGATTTTATTTCCTTCTAACAGCCATAGGAAAGGGTCAGGTCTTTTACTGTCTATTTCTGCTTCCTTCTAAAAATTTATCTTCTTTCAACACAAATCTATTCTCTACCTAGTGGACTAGGAAGAGTTCAATGAACAGAACACTCACCCATCAGGTAGTTGCAGTTTGGAATCACTACACACACACACACACACACACACACACACACACACACAAACACACAGTCTCTCTCTTTCTCACTCGTTCGCTAATGATATCCTCTAAATCTTTGTATATTATTATTTTTTTAAATACATTTTATTGATTTTTCACAGAGAAGAGAGAGGGATAGAGAGTTAGAAACATTGATGAGAGAGAAACATCTACCAGCTGAGCTGCTTCTTGCACACCTCCTACTGGGGATGTGCCCGCAACCAAGGTACATGCTCTTGACCAGAATCGAACCTGGGACCTTTCAGTCCGCAGGCTGATGCTCTATCCACTGAGCCAAACCAGTTTCGGCATCTTTGTGTATTATTTTGTGATGGCTACCTCAAAAGCACCTGTGTATTAAAAAAAAAAGAGAAAAAGTTCGACTGTCCTAAGCCAAGACTATTTGGAATGTTTGTAAGTACTCATCTTCATCATTGAAAAACTGACCTGATCTCCCTGCAGTTGAGCCATAATTGCCAATAAAGTCTAAGAAAATGTGAACCAAATGTCAGACTTTCCATCATTTATTGCAGGCCTCCCCACCAGCTGTGACTTGGAGGAGGGAATAACATATGAGCAGATGCAGGTGAGGTTTCGGCAGTACCTCTGGATGATTTTATTTTGTTGCTTTTAACTCAATGCTAACCCGATTTTCTTTTTCCAACTTTAGACTGTGATTGAAGAAGTCCTAGAGGAAAGTGGTTATTACAATTTTACTTCTAATAGGTGAGCTCTAGAGTTTGCTTTCCAATTTGAAATATCATTTGAGATCAGTGGATATTAGATCTGGTTTCTCTATATTTGATTCTAGAAGGCTTTTTCCAACGTTTATTTTAAACACTTTTATAAAGTATCTTGTCTCAGACTAGATATACCATTGGTAGAATATATGTTGCTCATCTTTTGTACAGATGCAGTATTGTTGAAAAGAAAGGGTGACCACTGAGTAGTAATTTACTCCCATAAAAATATGAACACAGTAAAATGGAAAATCATTTTTAGATTTTTTTTTAAATTAATCAGTTGTGTGCTCCATTCCATTAGAGCTGTAATCTCAGATTTCCATCCCTGAAATCTACCCATTGCTTGTATAGGATGCAAGAGGAAAAATGCAGCAAAACAATCACTTCCGGTCACTTTATGTTTGGGAGAGAGGGGCTTGTTGTGATGGGTTGCCATTTGAGTACTCTATACAGGGGCTGTATAGTATCTTCTACTATCACCATTATTGATGCTCTAGAAAATATACTCTATTTTTTCAGTTTAGACCAGTTCTGGATTCCTGCAGTTTTACTGTTGGACATGGTGTTGGGCACTAAGATTTGAGTACAATTAGTTTATTTAAGAGGCAATTCCAGGAAGCATTGGTAGGGGAAGAGATCATCCAATAGAGGTTTCATTTCCAAGCAAGTTACCATTGCAGATGACTGGAGCTTGATCCCACCAGGGAATCTGAGAGCCTGTGTAGCAGATGGGCTTCACTATTCCTCCAATTTCCATCAGTCATTGTTGGAGGCCTTTCCCCAGGGGACGTTAGTTACCTGGCATCTCTGGCCTTCTGGAAAGCAAACATAGCCTATTCTACAGGCCAGAGCAACTCTCAAGGAAAAGAAATGCAGATGCTGGGCGTTGGAATCAGGCTGGCATGCTTCGAAGTGGTAAGGATGAAGCAATATGGGCATTGACAGTCTCTACTACACATAAGTTGTCCCTTGATTTTTCCAAGAAGCTACACAGAATATGCATGGATAGTAAGCAACCACATACACATTATATGTGGCTAACAATAGCTGTAGGAAGCACAGTCTTAATGAGTTTGTTCTCCCAAAGTGGCCTTTATTTGCTTAGAGGAACTGCCTTCCTTTCTAGCTAGTGAAACTATCTTGTGACATGATTTAAATTATTCAAGAAGTTTTCCCCAAAGATAACTATTAGTAGTCATGGTGAGAGAAAGAGGGCCGAAGAACATCCTGTGAAGGTCATTATTCGGAAATTAGATTTTTTGTGAGGTTACTTCAGTTGCCAACATTGTTTTTCCTTCTGTTTCACGAGTTGTTCTTATGAATCACACATGAGATTATTCATCTATTTGTTCTTTTGGTGTGCAATATATTTCCAAAATACTACCTTCATAAATGTAGTTCTGTTTTGATTTGTAACTGAAATGATGAGTAATTCTCATTTTCCAAGGATATATTGTTAATAGAAATCACCATCTCCATGTTTACTAGCCTTCCCACCATTCCTGGAGAGATTTAATTTTTCACTCTCTACTCCTGGACTGGGAATACGCAGCCTTCCATGGATATCAGCATCTCATTCCAAGTGCTTTGTCTTAAGTGGGGGCAAAAGGAATACCTGTCAGTTTTTAATCTGTATCTTCTCAGAGACTCAGGATCATGGGCAATAACTTTCTTCATATTTTACAGAAAAATCAACTAAATATTAATAGAAAAACAGGTGTTTAAGGAACTTAGAGAACTTTTTATAAGAGCTAATTTTTCTTTAAAAAAATACACAATTTCAGCCTTATTTTGAAAAATTTGCTTAAATTTTTCAGTTCTACTATCACATTTTAAATATAAAATCAAACATTACTTCTACTTCCAAATACATATTCCCATATTAAAAGACATTGCAAATTCCATATTATGGTGAACAGATAAGATACTTAATAACAAAGGCAAAAAATTATTCACATTTGTATTCAGAATTGTGAATAGAATAGGAAGACATGATTTAAATGATTAAGTTTAAGCAGCAAAGATAAGTATGAAATATTCTTTAAAATGCTTTAAATGAAAATGATTCACCCATGTATAAATCCATATAAGCATAACACTTCCTTTTCTGCTTCTACTAGCCATGATATAATCTTGGGAGAAAGACTCTACAGTTGACTAGTAAAAATAACCCTTGGTTTTGCTTAAAGCCATCACTCATTTACTGTGTTCCAAATTAATTCCCAAGAAATAATTCAAGCTGTACTTAGAAGAACCCAATACTTTAGAAGCTGAAAATATACATAATTTCAAATACAAATCAAATCAACTGTGACAGTAATGATTTTTTTTATAATCAAAAGATAGAGGATGTTAAATATCATAGAACATGTATAGGTATTTAGAATCAGTAGATTGTGTTTTCCCAAATACCTTTCAGAGAAAAACTAATATTGCCAGAGATATTAATAGATGTTCCCTGAAAAATAAAGTTTTATGACCAAATATATTTGGGAAACTCTGAACATATGATTTTCCATTTGTGAAGAATGTTGACACACATACCATATTAAAGACTCTGAGATGGACTGTAGGAAAGAAATCTGTTGACTTTGTTTAGCCCAGTAATTCCTCAGCTTTTATTGGGAATGCAAGTTGAGAAAAATTGCTCTAGCAATATGATTTGAAATGGAAAACATTGTTTTAACTCCTCTGCCAGGATCTACTCAGATCTGCTATTGTTCTCATTATCTTTATTTTCATCATCATCATCATCACAAAATGTTATTAAATTACCATGCACAGAGAATTATACACCTTATTTCTGTTTACAGCTTAAGACTGTCAATTCAAATTTATACACACATCTACAAAGTATCAAGATAGCAACTAAAGCATTAAGCCAAGAGATGACACATTTTCAGCTTAGATTAAAGACTTTGTTTAAGGATAGAGAGATGCCACTGGCATCTAGCTATTGACTATCTTTTGCGAAGATTTCTAGAACTATTTAAATAATGAGGGTAAAGCTGGGACAGTTGGTAGAAAGAATCTCTCCAGCACAAAATGCTGCATTAGTTTTTAAAAAAATGATAACAGAAACAGAAATAGCAGCAAGAAACCATAACCAAATAGGGGATTCTTCATTTCTGGGCTTCTGGGAAGGGGGGGAGGTAGGTCTGAGTTGAGAGGAAGAAAGCAGGGTAAAAGAAAATGAAACAAGGTAAAAACAAACTTGACCAGTGCAAAGCATATCATTTCTTGGTTATACGGTTAGTCACATTTGACACATAAACACTTAACTTTCTTACCAGAAAGATACAGCTTAGCATGCATTAATGTTCTCATTGTTGTTGTGAGAGTAAAACTGAGTTCTGTGAGCAAATAGATGACAAACATATACTTAAATGTAACATTAATATTTTATTTTATAATGATAAAATATGTGTTGAGAAATAGGGATATGCAAGCTAAAAAGAGATCTACATTGAATTAACTTTCATTGCTCCTCTCCCCCCATTAACTGATGAATATATAAAATAAATATTTAATGTGCATAGGCATTTAAATGTACAAACTACTTTGAATAGGTGTTTATTTTTCCACTATACAAGGTTATCAGTTTCAATCTATACTAATAAAAGGGTAATATGCTAATTAGACCAGATAGACTGGATGTCCTTCTGGACAAAGCCACAGTGGTGGACCTAGGTAGAGACAGTTAGGAGTGATCAGGTCGGCAGGGGAGAGTGTTTAGAGGTGATCAGGCCAGCAGGGGGAGCAGTTAGGTGTGATCAGGCAAACAGGCAGAGGCGGTTAGGAGCCAATGGTCCCGGATTATGAGAGTGATCAGGTCTAAACCGGCAGTTGGACATCCCCTGAGGGGTCCTGGATTGGAGAGGGTCCAGGCTGGGCTGAGGGATCCCCCCCCACGTGCACGAATTTCATTCACTGAGCCTCTAGTTGAGTTCATAATTTGACAAAGGTACTGTGTTGGCCCTGAACATTAGCAAAAGGTTGCATTCTAAAAATCTCCTCACGCTATTGTCATTTAGAACCACTTTTTAAAACTTGTGATTTATTTACTTATACACCTGAGCAACTGCTCTGGAAATGGAACGTGTAAGCTAAAATATTTGTGACACTATAGAACTCTTTCCACTTCTGAATTTTCTAGGTATCACTCCTATCCATGGGGGACCAAGAACCACCCAACCAAACGATGAAAATGCTGCACTTTGAATGAGCGTTCAAGTTCGGAACTTGTGCCACCACTGCAAGATGCCTGAGGACTGGGTGCTGTTAAAAGAGTGTAGAGGAGAAAAGACCACAATGCCATAGTGCCGGCAGGACCTCTTTATGGAGGTCTGGTGCTAGGCTCTGTGAGGGCTGCAGTGCTTGGAGGCTCAATTCCTGGGATGCAATATACATGGGGCGACAGGGCTTCCAGTGTGCTTCTGGGAGAAGATGCTGCAAATTCACCTGCAGGACGAAAACCCACTCCTCACAGAACTTTCCTCCAAGTTAGAAAAAATGAACATCTTGTCATATTTTTCAAAGAAATATTTTATACTTAGAATTGCTAAGTTCAGAGACATCTATCTTTCCATGTATATAAAATAGTTTTAGTTAAAGAAAATTATAGGACTCAAAATAATAACATATTGGGTGATTCACTGTATCTCCCATTTTTTTTAAATCTTAAAAGATATTTAAAATGTGATTGAATTTTTTGTTTGTTTTAATGAAAGGATTGGTTCTCTCTTAACCACTTGGGTGCTAGTGGTCTTGAACCCAGATACAGTGTAGACAGTATTGTAACCTTGCACAGCCTCTGGGAATAATTATCAAATAGTCATATTTAAGTTAGAGTAAGAGAATATATGGATGTACAGTGTGTATATGTACATATGAGTGGGGGCAGAGGGGATTCGGATTAGTCTAATGCTTTGCTGCTAATCAAACTTATAGTGTTTTTAGAGCACTTTGAAGAGTTCATAGAATCTATGAGAGAGATGCAATATTTCTTGTTCTAAGTCCCCCCTTACTAAAATTACATTGTTATAAAATTTTTATTGTTGAAAATTTGAAATGAATACAAGTTATATAATAAAATCAAAGTTCCTTGATTCATTGAGACATCCCTTAAAAAGAGAAATCAGAATACCAAACAGTGTCCCATTCCTATATAGAAAGAATTTATGATGGAAACTTTCTAGATTTTTATTAGTCTTCAATTGGCTTCTTACAACTACTATAATGTCAAGAAATGCCCTTATTGTCAAATCAGACTACACTTCTAACTCCTTAAAGAATATTTTAATGCTATATAATTACTAATCTGAAATTAGGCTTTTTGTTTACTTTTCACTGAGTTGTTATTTTTATTTATATTGGTGTATTTTTAGCACAATTGAATAAAGTTAGTTCAATATATTTATAATAGTTAAAACACTAACCTTTTGTATAGAATGGGAAAATATTTTAATGTGAATCCATCTTTTTTTTTTTTTTTTACAATTAGCATGTTTAATACTTAAACAATATCCAAATTCCCTTTAGCTAATGCCTTTGAAGACTGTCAATGAATTGTTGTCTTTAAGCCAAAGTAATAAAAATTACAGTGCAATTTATAGATTCACATCTAATTTAAAATCATAGATGTAAATATAGTAATGACAATTTCATTTTCAGCTTTCAAACCAATTCCATCCAAATGTGAAATTTACACTTGAAATAAAAATGCTGTGGTTTTGTTGATTTAAACCAAGCAAAATTTTATTCCTATTCCATTTAATTTGAACCTGAACTATTACTTTTCATGTTTGTTTTTTTTTAAATATATGGAATGGGCACATTTTTTCATTGTATAGGAGGTATGGGCCTAGAGGGGCAGTACTTAGAAATAAACCAAGCTATGTGGTGAACATTTGAACAATTAAGTTCTTTATCAAATGACAATAGATAGAAAAGAATAGTCTTCAGCGGTCACATGTTAGTTAGAGAAGAGACATTCTGTATTGAAGGTGATCTTCAATGCATGCAGTCAATCTCATGAATGAACTGAGCAGACGATTTCCATCTCACACTTTCAGGCCAGAGGAACGGCATGGATTATTAGGAGCCAATAAAAACAAACAAAAATAAGCAAATGTGTGGCTTTTTCAGCAGCAGCTTCAGGCCCATCACTGATAAGTGGATTATTTTGCCAAAATAATGGATGTGTGCTGTTTGAATCCCTCCCTCTACCAGTTATTGAATCAACATTCTCCCAGGCAAGAATGAGCCTTTAAGAGGAAGTTAGGTCCTGGTAAAGGAACCCCCTTTTTTTTTTTGCATGGAGGCACATCCCAGCAGCAAAGTCAACTTTCAAAAGCCTTGTCTTTCAAATTTTATTTAGCTCCACTCCCCCTTACAAGGAAACAAGAAGGATCATTTTGTTTTGACGTTGGAACTGTCTTCTAGTGCAAAGAAATTGTTACTTGAACTCTAGAGACCTCTTCATCTTTCTTGATTGCACTTCCAGAATTTCTCTTCCTTTTGTACAAGTTTTAATTATGTGTTGTGTAATGAAATCCCTGTTAATCTATCTCATGCTCAGTCACTGAATATTTCTGTGGAACAGAAGATGAGTCAATCTTTTCAGATCACCTTTGTTGCACAGACATTTCAGTGACTTATGTTATGATCCACCAGCTCTATCTGAATATGTATATTTGAAACCTTAGTTTGCTTCTTCAAAAAAAGAAAAAAGATGTTCCTTCTCAGGGAAGTGACTGCAGTAGGCCTATAAGCTTCCTGGTTGTCAACCTTCTCTTCTTCTAGATATATTTCATTAGAGATCTTCAGGACATAGTATAATAATATGCGCACTAGACCCAGTGTTCATGGAGGAGTTTCAGAAATCTAGAGAAATGTGGATACTGGTGAAGCAGTGGTCAGTGTGTACAATCTGCTTCGGCATTCTGAAGCGGAACCTCATTAGCAAACACTGTTATAAAGTTTACCCAAATGGTTGAACTGATTAGGAGTTAAGGTCTTCCTAGAGGTACCATTTATGACTTAAGAAATACCATAAGCCAAAGGCGGTTTGGCTCAGTGGTAGAGCATCGGTCTGCGAACTGAACGGTCCCAGGTTCGATTCCGGTCAAGGGCATGTACATTGGTTGTGGGCACATCCCCAATAAAAAAATATATATATATATAAAAGAAAGAAATACCATAAGTTTTGATGTGCAAAAATATAGGGCTGCTTGATTCTCTGCAATTGTAGCAATATCCTTAATCATCACTCATATTTAAGACATGTGGAGGCAACTCTGTCAGTATTAATATACCTAGAATCCACATCCTTTCTTTGATTTGCTAAATTGTGAAATATATTTATGGCTATTCCTTTGTTTGGGATGGCAAGGAACTGAGTACAATCGATATGCTGGATTCCTTTAGACGTAGGTCCCACTTCTACCTGAAAGCAGGAAACGCTTCTTTATAAGCTGCTTTTATTGTTTACCTTTCACTTTTCTAATGTGTTTTCATGAGCACAGGAATCAATTGGAGAGGCAGGCGATGCAGCAGTAGAGGGCGCCTGAGCAAGGGATGCTTGGTGCTTTCAGAGACTGACCTTGACTTTGGGTAAAATTCTGTCCAGACATGCAATTCTTCATGTTTAGCAACTAAATGTTATGGTAAGTGTATTCCATGTCTTTATAATGTCTTCCAGATTGCACACATTGGTGGGCATCATTTTGTATATCTTTTCAATTGAAGTGTGCTACTAACTGTATACTTAACCTTGGATGCAGTTTTTCATGTTGATGGGAAGACTCAAACATTTCAGGGAAAGAACTTCGTGATAAATTCTTATTTGTGTTAACTTGCATGTTATAATTATGACCATTATAGTTGATTGCATTCCTGCCATGGTGTTGCTTGAGGTTTGCAAGAGAGGAACAGGGAAGAGTTTATAATTTTGATGGGATGGATGTTGCCAGTTTACACATGCTCAGGGTCAGTGCACAGTAGTTGTTTTCGAAAATGAAGATCACATACCCTATAATGATAGCAGCATTCTTGTTATGTGACATATATTAGAGTTTTAACTACATATATGCAGTGATTAATAATATACAAAAATTTAAATACAGTTTATTGCTTTTATCCTAAAATTAATTCTATATTCTCAATTGAAAACTAAAAATTACTCCTCTAAACAGGACAAATTGTCTTTTTTTTTTTTTTTATGAAGCTCTGCCCTGTGCCCAGAAACTGCATTTAGGGTTAGTGGATGTGTGTTATAACAAATATTTGACTTTTTAACTGCTGTCCTTTGGAACTAGCTTACCTTTGTTTTCCTCTGAACAAAGTTTTGTCTTTATAGAAAAATCAGTCATTTTGACAGCTCACCAACAAGTCTGGGTCGATACTCAGAATTGATCTGAGGAGCTCACACATGAAAAATTAGCTGAAGATTTTGCAATCATAGGACAGACTGGTCCCATATAACAGGTAGAGAGAGGTTTGGACGAAGAAACAAACCTAGAGGATCACGTGCTTTATACCCTTAACACCTTTAAGTCAGAGTGTGAAAGTCACTTTCAGAATGATATTCTTAATGCATAAGTCAGGTCTGCATGTCAAGTACCGCTTGAGTCAGGATTCTGAAAGACAACAGAAGGCTTCTCAGTGACAGTTGAATTTGCTTTTCTTGCCCTCCACGTTCTCTGTGTCTGTCTCCTACATCAGTGACTTGTAAAAGGAACACGGCTGGCTTGGGGATAGCTCATGACAGGAATGAGTATCTGAAGTGTTTGTATGAGTCCAACATTACATCGAGGGGGATGAGTACATGTAAGTTCTCAGGAGTGAAATCCCAGCTTGTCAAAGATGAAAGATGGATCCCTCACGGACATGGGATGCTCCCCAAATAAACACTATTTTGAGAAGTTAGAGTCCATGTTCAAGGCAAGTAGTTCTCCAGCGCCTGGCATAGCCCTACAGGCTCTTCACAGGTGGTGAGCAGTTGGCAAGAGGCCAGGTAACTCCATGCACTTGACTGACTCATGTCACCCCCAGAGCTCAGTGTCATTGGACTGTGGTCTCTGAGCTCTCGCCAGGCAGGTGGTCCCCAGAGTGGCCTCCTGAGGCTCCCAGGAACTTGGTCAAGTCCTTAGGACAGGGTCCATGTAAAGCAGGAAACACCTCAAAGAAGCACTTCTGTCTGCCATCAAGTGAATGCAGTTCTTCCTTTGGGGCCCATGGTTTCTTCCCTGTCTTTCCTCTAGGGCAGTGGTTCTCAACCTTCCTAATGCCGCGACCCTTTAATACAGCTCCTCATGTTGTGGTGACCCCCAACCATAAAATTATTTTTGCTGCTACTTCATAACTGTAATTTTGCTACTGTTAATGAATCGTAACGTAAGCATCTGTGTTTTCCGAAGGTCTTAGGCGACCCTGCTAGCAGTTCTCAACCTGTAGTTACTGGCCTCAGGCCCATTTCCTCCGATAATGCACATTTTATAAGAAATAGAAGTGGAACTTCGGTAAGTGCAGGTAGCTTGGAATATGCCGACACTTAGCTAGGTTAGATAAGAAACGTTTAAAGGTATTTCAAGAAAACCACGCACTTGACAACTCATGGAGAGATCCTATCATTTCGCTCCTCCGAAATGGGCAACAAAAACCAGTTAAAATAAAAATCCTCTGAGGGCATTTTGTTTACTGGCATTTAGTGGACCAAACGGAATGAGAATGCTTCCTGTGTTTTATTGTTCTCAGCGGTGAATTCGTCAGGATTGACAGGAACAGAGCTGCTCTCTGAAAAGGGCAGCCCCTGATCCCACATTGCTCAGGATTTCTATCATCTAGGTGGCTGGAGTGTGAGACCGAGGCCTGGGCCCACAGGATGGAAAAGTACTGCCGATTTGCACTCCTCACCTCAGCCTCTAAGAGGCTACCTCCTCCCCAGGCCTGGAACACCCCTGCCCCATTCCTCCCCAGAACAGACTGTTCCCGGTGTCCTGCTGGGGTCCCTGGGTTTTTTGAGATGTTGGCAGTTCTGCGACCATGTGTGATGTGGAAGGCAGAGGGTGGCAGACCCCCCTGCATATGGTCCTGTCCTCCCAAACCTCCCAAACACCTTCCTGTGTGAGCACATGGAGCCTGAGCTGAGCCGATGACCTTGAGGCCTTGCAAGCGAAGAAAAATGAAATGCCTCTATAAAAGATTTATATACAAATGCAAGCAGCCTGTATTGTTGCTATCGCCTTAGATATGCTCTGTAAAATGCTAAAGAAAATAATTAAAAATGTATTTTCAACCTTACTGGAAAACCTTTTTCTTTTATCAGGCGTTCATAGCAAATGGTCATATTATTTCTCTCACCAGCTCCTGAATCTTTCCTTTTATACTTGTAAGCCTTTTGATTTTAAGAAAAATGTTCCAAATAGTCAATGATGCACGTGTTTAAGCTCAGAAGTGTCCCGCAGTTTTAATTGGCGTATCCCTGCCTGCAGCAATGATCTATTGCCACTAATGATGTACAATGAAGCCCCTCAAAATTAATGGCTTGAAATGACAAGCATCTATTGTTTCTCTGAAGCTGTAGGTCAGTTAGGCGATGCCTGCTTGCCTGAGTGGAGCTCAGATGCTCTCCACTGGATAATCACGGGTGTCTGTGGTCAGCTGGCAGGTTGCCTGGGGTCTGGCTGGTTTAGGATGGACTCTGAGGGGAAAAGAAAGCTCTGTGTGCTCACATCCCTCCAGCTTAGCAGGTGAGTTTTTGTGGCTGGCGGTAGCAAGAGTTGAAAAAGGGATGTAGAAATGGAAGACTCCTTTGTCAAGCTACTGCTTATGTAAAGTTTTCTCCATTCCCATTAGTCAAAGCAGATCAGATGGTCAAACTCCACAACTCCCATTAGTGTAGGCAGATGCATCGAGTTTTTGTTGCTGTGTAACAAATTGCCATAAACTTGGCAATTAGAAAAAGTACATAAAAAAAAAAATATATATATATATATATATATATATATATATATATATAATTGATTTTTTACAGAGAAGAAGAGATAGGGATAGTTAGAAACATCAATGAGAGAGAATCATCGATCAGCTGCCTCTTGCACACCCCCTACTGGGGATGTGCCTGCAACCAAGGTACATGCCCTTGACCGGAATCAAACCTGGGACCCTTCAGTCTGCAGGCCAATGCTCACTGAGCCAAACTAGTTTCGGCAGAAAAAGTACATTTTTAAGCTCTCAATTTCTGTAGGTCAGAGTTTGGGCATTCCTTAACTGTCCTCTTATAGGCTAGAATCAAGTATGGGCAGGGGGCTGGCTCTCACGTGGGCCCCGGGATTCTCTTCCAAGCTCCTGTGATCACTGGCAGACTCCAGTTCCTTGTGTTTGTAGCTCTGAGGTTCACAGCATTAGATGTGGCCAGTAGGAGTTTCCTGCCATGTGCAGACAGTTCACATCAAGGCAGCTTGCTTTTTCAAACTGTAGCTAGAGTCTCTCTCTCTCTCTCTCTCTCTCTCTCTCTCTCTCTCTCTCTCTCTCTCTCTCTCTCTCTCTAAAATAGAGGTTTATAACTTAGCCAAACCAAGGGAACGGCATCCTGTTACCTTCACCATATTCTAGTTGTTAGAAGCAAGTCACAGGTGCAGGCTACACTCAAGGGGAGGTTATAAAAGGGAATGGATGCTTAGGGTCACCTTACGGTATGTCTGCCACAGAGTGCAATACCAAAGCACACACACATAGGGAGACCTGAAAAATTAGGGCCATGAAATACAAAATATCATGATATCCAAAAAGCTGGAGAAAAAAAGAATTGTGTGAGGTAGTCTCATGAAAATGACCTCAGACTGCAGAACCTGGATTCCAGAGTGAGTCTAGGCCCCACCCCAGGATTCAGTTGGCTGTCTCCTGCAGGCTCTTTTTTTTTTTTTTTTTTTTTTTTTTTTTTTTTAAATATATTTTATTGATTTTTGTACAGAGAGGAAGGGAGAGAGATAGAGAGTTAGAAACATCAATGAGTGTCGTCATCGTCGATCAGCTGCCTCTTGCACACCC